ATTTTTGTTAACAAACAATAAAAATGTTCATTGTGGTAAATGAAATAATAATTTGATCTAATTAAGAGTTTTTTTCTTCTTCCCGATTTGTAAAAAAATCCTTACGTGATAGAAAAAACAATTAATATTATCTTCTAAATCTGTGTAGCTGAATTATGGAAAATCTGTTATTAAAACCAAAACAACTTTTATGAAGTGTAAATTCGCAAGCCTGTGTAATAGGAAAATATGAAAAGGTAACAACCCTAGTTGCCTATTTTGTGCTACCTAAACTGACAAATTTTCATGTCTCAGCCATACACATATACTAATAGAACAGTATCTGAACAGATTGTATTTTAAAAATATTGCTTGAGGATTAAACAATAACTGATTCTAGGTTGGTCACTAAGATTCGTTATCTTATAATGACAACAATTTAGATAATTTTTGACCTATAGTTTTATATATTATATCACTGAATAGTAATAAACTGGAGTTTAAATAATTCTTATGTGTAACTTCTGATACAGAAATATATCTGATACAATAACATGTTGTAAGAGTGTTAATAAATATAATAATAGCTTAAACAACTTGAGTACTGTTATCTCTGAAACAAATAAACAAGTTTTATACTCATACTAAAGTCAAATTTGCATCTAAGTTTCTTGCACAAAATTCGTTTATGATATATTTTTCAGACATATTTCAATATGAAAAATACAATTGTTTTTTGAATTTATAAACTTGCTGAAAATACAATCATGTCAATTATCAACAACTGATTTCTATGTTATCCAATATTTTAATCTCATCTTCAGCAACTAGAACTTAAAATTGTTTATTTATAGGAAAAAATGTGTTAATAAAAACAAACAAAATTCTTAAGCACTTTAGAAACTATGTACAACTAAAAGTTATCACAAAGTCAGAGATACTATTTTTTATTTAGTAGTTTTATTGAAGTCTGAAAAATAATTTAAAACAAGAAATAAATGCACAAGAAACTTAATCATAAACTGGATTTGGAATGAAATATTCAATTTATACAATATGTCTAAAACAAGTTCTAACACAGTGTACACACATTAGGCCTAAATAACCTCACTGCATGTAAACATCCAGCTTAAAATGAAATCTCACCAAGAGAATGGCACATTGACAGAAGCAAACACTCTTGCAATTATTGATGTTTGTTGTCGTTATGAAATTATTGTAACCACTTAACTGATGAAAAGAATAAAATTTTTTTTTTTGCTCATTCAATAACTTACTGTAAAACATATTTGTAATATACTAATCAACACCTAATAAGTTATACAAGACATTTGAAAGTCATACAAGAGAGAGAGAAATACAAATTTACTTGGACACATCTAAAATTAAAACATATGTGGCCTTATAAAAAAAACTACCATAAGAATCTCTGATGAAATAATTTTACTAAACTAATTTAAATTATCAACTGGCAAAGTAAATGTCTTAAAATGCTAATGAGAACATAATCTTATATCAATCCACACTGAGTATTTGTGGATATGTTAGTTTGGTTGCAACCCAATTTTAGAGCTATCACACTTTGGGAATGTCCTTATTAAAACGTGATAGAAAGTCACCTAGGCATGACTAGGATCTAGGAGTAGGTTTTCAGAATTGCTGAACCTGAATGCCATCATATTTTGTGTTCCGGCCTCAGGATACTGAGGGCACTATGTATGATACTGTGTTTATATCTCCACTAACAAAACCAAAATGTGATAAACAGGCGGGTGTCCTAACAGTTTGTTTCTGGTATGGATACCTACTTGGAGTAGCTAGGGAAGCAATTGGGGATAATGTAGGAGCTTGATCACTACACTGGGGCCTCTGTGAATGATAAAGTGACATTTTAACCCCATAGGGAATCATGGGTATTTTATGCTAGTGATACAAAAAAAAATAGGATTTCTATCTTTAAATCATATTCACCCAAGGCTAAGCTTCCTGAAAAAGTTTATGTAATATCCCCCTGCCAACTTTTGATCCTCTCAGTAATTGTGAACTAAACTTACACAAGTGTAAAAAAAAAATTAATTAAGAAAATTAGGAATGGGAGCAACAAAAAGGTAAGGAAACAAAGTAGGAATAGGCTGGATAACATTACAACACTTGGTGGTTTTTGACACAGTGCAATCTCAAAGTGGGTGTGGCCATCATTCCGCCCATTCCTACTTCGTGTGCTTTTTGTAACCTGGTAATTATTTAAACTAAATGAAATATGTATATAGCTCTCTTCACTGCGACAATGACTTTTCATGGTTATCAACATAAGATTTTCTCCTTTTCTCTCATTTTGTTTCTTTGAAAGGCATATTTTAAAAATTGCACTCTTTCAAGTACAACCTTAGATGTCAATAGGTCACACTTAATGAAAACAATGCAAAGGTAAATTATATAACTTATTGTTCATGTTAGACTTCGGCAGTGATAACATTTGTCCTCATGTAGGAGAATTATGTCTTAGGCACCGACTGATGTGATAGAACTGCTATGTCCAGCACACAACCCTCGAATCAGATGTATAGAAATGAAAACTTTGCTTTCAAAGGTTAGATAGTAGTTAGAACCCAGATCTAGAGAATCTATGTAGTCCACATTTTTTTTTATGTAACTGATACAGCTGCTGGCTGATCACTTAGCTCATGCACATAAGCAATCATGCACCTTCACGTGATATGAGGGCAGGTTGTTACTTGGTAACTCACAAAGTATACTCATAATCATAGAAAATAGCTACTAATGTATTGTTAATGTCATTTGGTAGTATTGCAAAATGGTCATTGTTGTTACCAAGGTTGTAAGAAAAACACTTTTAGCCAAGGTAGTGTAATTCAATCATGTGCATTGGTTAAGGCAGGAGAGAGCTATACCTTTCTAACAATGTTAGTCAGTCAGATTGACAAATTTGTGAAATTTTTGTTTTTACTCTACCGACTTTCTTAAGTGCTTTGTTGGCTTCTTACTCTGCAGTTGGTTTGTTTACTACTCAACAGTGTGTGTAAAGTGCTCATAAAGTTTTGTTTACATGCTGTTTGCAGCGTGTTTGAGATTTTAATTTGTGCACATCAGGCCCATTCCCGCTATAAGTACTACTGTACTTATGATAATATGTAAACAACACTATTTACATCAGCAGACAGGTCTTGGGCATAAATAGTATAAAACAATATTCAAACACTAACTGAAAGTTTAAAATTTTGTACTTAAGTTGGAATTATACAACAGTGACACACTTGGTGGTGTTAAAAATATTGTCATGAAATCTGTAGTAAAAGAGTAAAGAAGTAATCCTATCTTTTGTAATTATCAGTATTTCATTATGATGAATTAACAACTGTGTAATATATATATAATTTATTAAATGTGGTATTTTTGTCATTTTGCTTTCACACATCGCTATGAACATAAGACTATTTCCTAGTAACTTTTAAGCCTAAACATAGCTTAAAAATGCAGCCACTTAAAAAGGTGTTATTGTTTTTTTCTTTTAAAACAGCTGACCAACTTTTTTCATTTCTTACAAAAATTAGTCCAATACACATAAAAATGGTTCCTGGAATACAATCAGTTGTTTGAAGATTTATTTTAAAAAAATAAACTAGTTCTATATAAAAAAAAGTATTTATATAGTTAACTGATAACTCACAGATCTTCTTTGTTTTATTGAAATTATGTTTTGACTTTTATTACAAGAATTAAATTTTTTTTGTGTTGCTATTCAAGTCATAATTCTGTTTACATAACAAGCATTTTGAAATTAACTTAAGCAACTTGAGCTGTATATATTTTCAGTTTTCCTCATAAATTAAATATCTAATTGAGAAATATAAGGTTGAAGACAAGAGAGAGGATCATAAGACAAATAAACAATGGGTTCCCATTAAACATACAGATGTGCTCCAAAACTCAAAGTAATTGGCCTATAAATATGCATATAAATGATAAATAATTAGACATCTAGCCCATTATATGCGGTTCAAATGTAATGTATTCAAAATAAAATGTTGAAAATTGAAGAAAAATAACTTTATAAAACCCAGATAAATAAATGCAGTTACAATATGATAAAATAAAAAAATACAAAAAAAAAATGGTTAGAAGTGGTGTCAGATAGGAAAAACAATGTGGTAAATACTTCAGATGGGCAGTCTTCATCTGCATTAATGAACCTGACCTGATTTTTCTCCCTTCTTTAGAATAGTTTTAACCATTTAAGCTTAACATTTACAACATTGAATTTTACAATCTCATACAAAATGGCCATTAGACCAACAGAAACAAAATTTAGATAAGAAGATAAATACTTCTCAGGAAAAATAATAATGCACAAATTAATTATAATAGTTTCATTTTTAGTTTACTTTCTGATTAAGTATATTTTATTACAAGTTACAGCTTTTACGCTGGTGTGATCAAAACATCGTACCTGTTCTAAAAACAAATCTTACTTACTGTAAAAGCTGTAATAAGTAATAAAAAAATTAATTTTATTTCTTTATAACTGAAATAAGTTAGAAGAATAAACCATGTTTTTTATACAAAAATAAAACCACACTTTCCATAATAAATACTACCAGGTGAATATAGAGCTGGTAAGCAAAAGTACAGTAGGTGTGTGAAATTAAATATATATAAAAATCTCATAGACCTAAGTGTACAGTTGATGCTTCATATAAAACTGGGTAGATGCAAACATTCCAAATAATGTGGAATTACTCAACATAATAGCTTTTACCTCTTTATACACTATGTCACAGTCCTAAATTACATAGTGTTTATGTTTTAACTGCTGGCATGCCATATCCAATCAAAGTTTTCTATTTCAATGAAATCAACAGGATACTATAAGAGTTCTTTTAAAATAATTCATGAATGTGTTATAATGTGAGTTTCAAATGTGGTCCAGGTGCTATTAAAAGACAAAAAATTACATATAAACCAGTTTTGTTGTTTCATTGGTTTCCCTAAAGTTGATATTTATTTCTGTAACCTTCCATTTGAAGAACTAACAGTTGCTGCTTTACGAGCAGTTTTGAGCTTCTGGCCATAGTAGATTCTGAAAAACAGAGCACCAAAGATTATAAGCACTCCCACTATTCCTTTGATATCTAACATGTGGTGGTAAATGAGACATGATAAAAGAACAGCAACAGCTTGACGAATTGTCATCATGATGACAAATATGACAGGTCCAAATTGTGAAATGGTGTAAAATATGAACATCTGCCCACTAGCAGAACAAATAGATAATAAGAAGCAGTCAATACAAAATAGGGGAAATTGCATCATGAAGTGAAAAGATTTTACAAACCCACCCTGCTGAAGAAGAGAGGCTGCAGTAAAAAGACAAGAGAAAAGATTCACACCACACATCATCTGTGTAGACGACATGGAGTAAGTTGAGAACAATGACCCTTGCCAATTTGAAGTGAAACTGTCAAACAACATGTATCCTACTAAAATTATTGCACCAGAAAATGTAGTTACAGTTTCATTGTCTTTTGCTTGGCCTCGAGATAACAAAAACATCATCATTCCAAGAGAAATCATAACTGCTGATATGTACTCATAGTATTCATAACTCTTTTTAGAAACTAGCTTTCCCATTAACATGACTGGAATAATTTTTGAAGCTTTTGCCAGAACTTGAGTAGGAAAACTAACAAATTTAAGGGCCTCATACTGACACCAGCTGCTCATAATATTTGAAAATGAACAATAAGAGTACTTATAGAGAGGAGCTGTGTGTCTTGGTTGCCAGGTGAAAGCTATATAAGTTCCTGCAAAAATAAAAGCGAGCACTCTGTTAACAAACACCAAAAATTGTGAATCAGTAAACAGTCCAATGCTTCCTGTACTATTTTCATATTCTTTGGTCATTATCTTTTCCTGCAGAACACCCCAGGTAAGATACGACAGCTGAAGGCCAAGGAAACAGAACACTAGGATAATGCCCTCTTTTAATGTGGATCTTTCTGCTTTAGAAGACTGATTCTGTTTCATGGGACCAAGTTCTAAACTCAATTTTTCTGCATCACTGCCATAGATGCACAGTTTGATAATTTTCATCACACATCCTGCTCCTGAAAAACAAAAACAAAAAAATTCAGAATTGCTACAATTCATTTTAGAAAAAATCTGTACAAAAGAAGGCGAAAGAAAAAAAGTTTCTTAAAAAACTCTTGAGAAACAGAAATCACACAGTTACCGTAAGCTAAGAATTTTATTTTAAAACTAGGATAAAAAAACAAATTAAAATAAATCTAAAAGTTTAAAAATCACAAGTAAAAGTAAAATATACAAAAAGTCATACTTAGTTTTTATTTTATATCTTATCTTTATTTAACTTGAATGCAATATTCCTTTTATATTCATCTACAGTTTGTGCTTGTCAATTTTGCTTTAAACTGTTGACTATCCTTGGTAGCATATTTTTACATTCACCACATGCCAAATGAGGGTTTTCAAGTCTTATTTTGGTTTTGATATTTATGTTATCCTGATGTTATTGGGTTTTTTTTTTCTTGATACAAAATTACCTGCATAAAAGATACATGAATAGAAGTGTACATCAAATGAAATCTAGAAAGTAAGACAGAATGTAAGAAATTTCAGTAACTAACAGTAAACTCAGGCGAACCAAATTATTCACACTTTTGGTGGAATATATTTTTTGGGACCAAAATACATTAAAACAACACACAAAATATGTTATTATTACATATACCACAAAGTGTGGATTGGTATGGGCAGAGACAAGCGCTGTCTCAGAATACATATGTATATCTATTGTGCCTTCATCGAGGCACAATAAATATACTAAACACTGCACAGTACTGCGTGTCTTCTTAAGTTTTGATTTGAACTTTTAGTTTGTTTATGTTTGAAAGCAGAACAGATCTTTTTTTGCAAATACAAAGGAACAAAAAAATCAATTTACATGTAACTTTTAAACAGACATTATCATGGTGCCAAAAATAGGTTATATAAAATTTTTGTTGTACACTTTACTAGTGAAAAATGGCTACTTAAAAATGAAAACATTTATTCTGTAGGCTTCTTTGAAAGCAAGTTATTCCAAATTATTAAATGCCAATCTTATATAAAATGCTACAATGCCAATTGTACAGAAGTCATTTGAAATCTTGAAATTCAATTACAATTTTAAAATTTTTCTTTATAGAGCTGAGCAATAAGTGGAACTTGCAAATAAATTAATCATTGGGCTCATTAATCAATTACATACCAACTACCATATTTTTCAGAATATAAGACACACCCCTTATTTTGAAGACAAAGTTTTGGGGAAAAAAAGCTACAGTCGCATTTGAAAGATTTTTATTAAACAAAAATTCAATTTCATACTTTAAAAATTAGTATATATTGTTCTAAACACAAAAGAGCTCAAAACATCAAAATAAGAAAATATTGTAAATCGAAAAAAGATTTACTGTTATTTAGTTTTGGAGCATTATAAATAGTTATGTTTTTAAAAGAAAAAAACAACTATTGTTATAAATAACACATTCAATTGAACTAAACTATGCATGCCTATTTAAATGTATTTACACATGGCTTGTGTATATCGTATATACATATATATTATTCATACCTTCGGTGTATAGGACGCAAGCAGCTTTTGACATCATATTTTGGGGTAAAAAAGTGCATCTTATACACCGAAAGATACAGTAATCATGAATAGGCTATAAAAAATCTTACAGAAAAATTTATAATGCAACAAATCAGGCTTCAGTATCTGCAGTGAGAAGAGAACAGATAATTCAATGTATAGCTTTGTGCTTAACAACAAACAAATGAAATGACAATATTTCAATTATTTGGATAGATGGGATAATCAAAAACATTAGTAATGAAAAACATCAGTTTTGATAAGTTGATTATTTTTGTGAAATTTATCACTTTAATCATAATTATGATGAATGGATATTTAGAATAAGTGAAAACACTAACTGAAATAAGTTGATTGTTTTCATGATATTAATCAATTTAATTCTTTATTTCAATTAATCAATTACTTTACGTGACACTAATTGATGTAATCGATGCTCATGGGTCATTGATTAATAGCCCAACTCTAATTTCTTATATAAAATGTGTTCTATGCTTTATTTTCCTCTATTTTTAATCCCCCCAGAACCTCTCAATAAATGGGCAACAACTGTTTATCATTAACTTTGCACGATGTTAAGCTTATGCACAATCTTTCTTTGATTTTCTATGTAATATTTTGCCATCATTCATCAAGGGTGGTAGATTTGTTATTTTCTGTAATTCAAACATAATAAAAAATTAAAACTAATATCTAGCTATTAGGAGCATTATATTTTTAACCTACTGCTTTTGATTAATTGATTTTGAAGATTTTATGAGTTGTTACTCTTACAGTTGTAATAATATTAATTATTCTTTCTGATCTCTATGACAGTCCACAGATCAACAATATGGATTATTCACAGTCTGGACCATTTTGAATATAGATAAATCTCTTCAAAGTGAAATTAATTCAGTACTCTGTACAGTTGAATTCCAAATCCAACTAGCTACTTCTTAAAACAAACATTCATTTTCTATCAATACATGATTCAGTAATCCATACGAGTCCACGAGAGTTAAGTAGAAGTTGATCATAACAGGAAACAAGGTGATAATTACTGATGATAAAACACCTCTTGAAGTGGGCATCTGTATACAACAATTTTCATGAGAATGACTTTCAAAGTAAGGATATACAAATAAACTATAATACATATCAAGAGGGCAGGAGGGTGGCTTAAGCTATATTCATGTCAAGTACAGTGCTTCAAAACAAAAACACATAGAAATATAAGCATCATTAAAATGTGGTATCTGTTCATACAAAAAACAAATCCAAAAGCAAGCATTGATATCATGTGAAGACAATGGCATAATATGCCACTTTGACTCCAGGGGTCCACACAAACAAAGTTAATACGAATATTGTGGTGTCAGCGAGGTCACGTGACTAGTGTCACGCCACTTCTTTCTCGAACCTTCCTAGATTGGGGGGGTAGTCTGGTATATATAGGATGGTGACAGCGTGGCAGGACATTGTGTAGGTAGTGAGTAATTGATCTGCAGTCACAGGGTATTGTTGAAGTTAACGTTCGTTGTTCTAGTGTTTGTTTTAGCGCAAATGTTGAAATTAAGTGTATCGTAAAGTTATATTCGGAAAGAATAAACCAGTTTTATTAAGTAAGGACTTGTGTCGCTAAAGTTTCGTCGGAACGAAGTTACGGAAAATTAATTAACAAACGGAGACGTAACAATATGTACAAGATGTGATGTTTTGAAAAAACCAAAAAAAACAATATTGTTAACCTAATTTACAATACACCAGTAACATGAATTACAGGTAATCCTGAAAAACAAAGAACCATGTTAAGCCTAATCTAACATTATAGACAAAGGATACAACAAAGCTCTAACTTCATACCAGAACTTCACTAGGAGTATTGACCAATCTAACTAAAATTATGTTATTGAACCCAAATAACTACATATAATAATATTAACAGTAAAAATATTCGAAAAACCCTAACCATATAATGCCCTATCTTTCCAAAGTCAGCAGACTAAATTTCAAAATGTGTGGGCCCCCAAACTCGAGTCGAGGCTTGATGAAGGTCAGCTCATTGGATGATCATCTTCTGATGAAGTAAAGCCTATAATTCTGCCACCTGAAGCCTATATATGCGTGCTAATAGAAGATATAACCTCCAAAGTGATTACAAAGAATTTGGAATTCAAAATGAATAACAAAACACAACCGTGTTGGCAGAATGAAATAAAAAGTAGAAAAAAAAATTGTAATGAAGAATTAAGTTCCATCACTGGGTAGAAATATAAAATAATTTCACTTAGAAATAAGTTACAAATATCACTACTGTATAATAAATAGTAAACTTGTTGAGAGAAATTGACACGAAAAAAAAAAGCACTTGACGAGAGCACAAACTGAACTTCTAAATACAAGCACTGCCAAACGAGAAGTGCTAGTTAGGTAGAATAGCATAAAGGGAGTCATTAAGGTGTGTGGTGCTATTAATGGTGGAAGTTGGTCGCATGATAATTTACATGTGAAAATCACTTAAACCATGTGAATTGAGAGGTGCATGGGAGTGAAAGGCTTGTGGCATGCGAAAAAATGTTTGCAAATGGAGGCCAAAACTGAACAAGAATAGCTTTGTATGTGAAAGGGAAGTAAGGTACCTTGTCAGAATATTTGTTTAATAAGCCTTTGTAGCAGCTCAACTGCCAACTAAACAATCTAGTGTTAACACAAAAGTCACAAATATTCACAAGACTTGGATAAAATAACAAATGATATCTGTAGGTAATGATTACCAAATTCTTCTACATTTTAGCTTCTAAAATAGGTTTTTCCATTTAAAAACTAATCAACTTTTAAATCTTACCTGATTTTTCTACAAAATGTGTTCTCTTCACAATGTAAATAATCAGAGCCCCAGGCACAATAATGGTAGCATAACAAAGAAGATTTATTGAAAGCTGAAAAACCCACCACTCTCCAACCTCTCTACCATTTGGTAATGTAGAAACCATTTCTTCAAAACTAATAACAATCACTGGAATCAAAATAACCTGCAGTACTGCTACAACTAAAATCACAGTATACCTAAAGAAAAAAACAACATTAAACTGAACATGCACATATTTTTTTCACATTGACTATATATGTATATATTATAAAGTATATCATTACATATTTTTAAGTGTTCTTTAATGCAGCGTATAAACTTTCTAAGTCACAAATGTATACTAAATATAATATGCAAAGAAAAAATGAATTAATAGGTCTACTATATATTAACCTTCTACTTCTATGGATATTAAAAAAAATGCTAGCTTTAAAATTCTGGTTATAAATTATAAGTTATAAATATCATTGGTTTTTTTAGAAAAGTTACATAAAATGGAAGAATTGAAAATACATAATGACATTCAGCATGGTAATTTACAATCATGTATTTACAGTCTAATTATTACTGTAAATATTTATTCTCAAACACAACTTGAACATTTGCAATATCAACCACAATAGTACAAATCCACACCATTAGCAACAAGAACTGCAGTTTGAGCAATATTAACTCTGCTCAACTATATTGATGTCAGGAGTAACAAACAATAAGTAATGGCAACTAAATAGTAAATTTATTAATAGTGCAAAACATTATCACAGAAAAAAGTGAGTAAAGTTTATCATTGTAGGATTTTGTAATATTTTACACAATGTCCTGTATTATTCCCACAATTCAGCCAAGTTATCTGTTCACCTTTTGATCTTTTCAGTTTTTACATAACCCTATACAATTTCAAGAATGTTCATATTTGTACTGTATATAGACCAAGCCACAGTTGTGAGTGTTCAAATAGTGTTTACCATCAAGATACTATTTCATCAAATTTATTGTATGCTTGGGATTATTTCACTGAAAGATAAATCCTAGTCCAATGAGCCAAGTTCCTGAGCAAATGACATGATGAATCAGCATCTTCTTGTATTTGTCAACAGTCACAGTGCCAACAATTCTGCATGAATCACAGAGTTTAACACCACTGGCAAATAAAATTTGCACTCATCCCCCCAAGTGCGTTTTTGTAGATGTTGTACATTGATTATAAAACAGTTCTTTCCTTTGCTAAATAAACTGTCATTGATTGTTATTGAACAATTCAAAGTTAGATTCACGTGTAAAGACCATGTTTTCAGCTTTGCTTATTGCACTATTTGTGCTTTGATGCCCATTTCAACCTTTTAATTTTGTTACCTCTTATCAGCACAGTTTGAGTGGCTAGACATCCACTGAGACAACTTTGTGTTAATGTTTATCTCAAGCTAAGTCCACACGATGAACATTTGCTCCAAATACTGGTACAATACAAATTTTTTGAAAATTTGTACAAAGCCCCAAGTCCACATTACAAAAATAAAATATGAAAAGGTTACGAAACAATTAGTTATGAAAATTTTGTAGATTGAGGAACTATTACTCATGAGTGGTTTTATAGGATATATTAGGAAAAAGAAATATCAATAAAAGGTGATGATGGGCTCAAAATTTTCTTCAAAGAAGAGTGACACATGAAACCTATATCTCGGTGATGAAAGAACTTTGCAAATGATTTGGAAGGGGGTAGAGGTTTAAAATATTTTGGTACGATAAGTCCATATCTGATTTTGAAGTTGAAATAATTGGTCCCAAGATCACTCATTGCTGTATTCATTCCATTTCTCATACTGAGCCCACAGCCCTCCATGTAGTGAAAATAATTAAATCTTGTATGTGCATACACAGAACCAAAAATAAATTTTTAAAACATCATTGTTATTACTTTTTTATTAAACTTTGTTGTAAATAATTGTATAAGACCAATCTGTGGGACAAAAAGAGTTCTAAAGGTAACATTCTGCTTATCTGAAAGTGTATTTCAGATAGAAACTCACTTCTCTGCACAACAGAGAGCTATTACCTAGCACCACTGCTGTGAAGATTTTTGTGCACAACACATGCCTTGAATGAAGCTTGCACCCCCTGCATATGTTAGTGTGTACTGCACCATCCAATGATGTAATCATTACCAGATTACAGCCCTCCACCAACAGGAGGATGAAACATCCTCCATGTATAGTAATCCCTATTAGTACTACCATTTAAACAAAGGCTCATTCTTGATGAGGTAAAAGAAATAGATTGGGAGTTGGGAGGTTGTACAGAAAGGTGAGATGCTATTTGAAATACATTTTCAGGTAAGAAAAATGTTAACTTCAAATACATTACTCATCACTCTGCACAATAAAGAGCTAGAACCCCATACTGAAAACACATGGAGCATGTCACTTACAAGGAGGACTAGCCTAGTGGGCATCACTTGGTGGGAGGCCACATCTATCTCAATCTATCTCTTTACCAAATAGAGGTTGTAGAGCAAAAAGTGTTATAAAAAAATATTTTTCATGGTGCTAAAGTGTTACATAGGTGAGCAAAATGTAAGATTGCTCAACCAGCCATTATCTCACAAGTGATTGTTTGTTGAGCATGAGTGTGTAGTGTGGATAGAGCAATTAATCAAACCATTCCATATTGGATAAATATTATGTAAGATACCAGAGTAACAGATGTACGGAAAAATTATCCCAGACCTGCTTCCCAAGGAAACCCAAGACCTATTTGGCTGGACTAACTGCTGGGTATGGCTTTGTTCATAACGTAGTAGGGTAGACTGAACTACACTTCTAGGTAACACCCCATCCCTACTTCCCATTGAGGTGTGCATCCTCACAGTCTCATAACAGTGGGATTACACTATTGCAATAGAAAACTCTCCACATTGACTTATCCAACAGCTTGAGACTAGAAAAGAAAGTTCTTCCATATTCAACTAAGAGAAAATGGGAGGAAGGAATTCACATAAATAAGAATGCTGGAGAAGTGCTCAGATCAAATAGGAAACATTACACTGATAGACTGTGCAATGGGTTACCAAGACTAAGGACAGCAAGCACTAGCCAAGTGTGAGAGCAGCCACACACCTAGTGCTGTCATTTTCATTTATATAAAGTACGGCTTGGAAGAAAAATATATATTCACTGCCAAAGCAGTCTTACATAAAATCCCATCTGAATAGTGGGCACGGAGCAAAGGCAGATGGTCTTAACACTTTCTATTATCCCCCATTCAATGGAAATTTTGGGAAAGAAAAATTTCCTGTGAGGCATCATTGGCCACTTTGTGAGTTTTATTGTTTCTAGTTTATATACATTGATATATAATAATGGTGATGAGGAAGCTGTTCAAAACCAACGACAAAATAATCAAAACTCACCTTATTAGTCTCTGGGAAGACTGAAGAATAGCAACTGAAGTGAGATGAAATCCAGTTGCAGATGAAACTGTCATGTGATGCAAGTAGTAGGCCATAAATGCGGCAGGGGGTAATCCACATCCCTACCTCCAAGATAGGATAAGATAAGATCAAAAATGAGAGAAAACATAAGATGACAAACCTGATAGGAAGTTATGTGATAAAGCTGACAGGCATCCTCTTCCATGGAAGAATAAACAAACTAAATGAGTTGATAAATCCAAATGGTTAAAGTGGAATGTGATTAAGTGCTTAAAGGAAGAAGGATGTTATGGAAAGAAAAGTTTATAGTGATTGCCATATACTGGAGCAGATTGAGCTAGATAACACTGAACTACTCAAATATGACAGAAAATAACTGGTGATGGAATGATCGTGTAAGGAAGAAATGGGAGGTAGAATGAATACAAGAAAGCATCCAATCACCCTTCTAAGCAGCTCAGGTGCTAGAGAGAAAGAAGTGGTACATAAATAACATCAACCTGTACTTTTGGCAAATAGTGCAAGAGGCTTCAATGGCAAAGTGAGTGCCAGAGCTTCTATAAATGAGAATAAAAGGAAAATATGTCTTAAGCATAGAAAAAGAGATTGAAACAATCCATACCCAGAGCTTCCTCTGCCAGAACTATAAAGTCTAGGATTTGCGACCAAAAGTGTGGAAACTAGATGCTGAGGGAAAGTCTGGAAAGCACAGAAAATACCATGGTGGGAAGTATCCATTCTAGATGTGATGATCAGCCCTGAGAGAGAGATGGACATTAGACAGTAACAAGAGGACTAGGAACAGGAGAGAGGATGACCCCACAAAGCTGTAGAGGATGAGAAACCTGGCACGGTCCCCTGGTCCAGAATGCAAGAAACCAAAGAGAGCAGAGATGACTGCTGATGATCTGCATTAGCTCCAGATTACTAGATATAAGAAACACCCAAAATACCAATCATTATAAAGAAAGGGTGCAACACAGAGATCCCTGAGAAAAGGTTGAGGAATTAATTGTCAGAAAATATGACATCCTAATGAAGTATGTCCCAGAAACAAAGAATTAACTGTTTTGGTTTTACATTTCACCCAAAGCTACAAGAGGGCTATCTGAGCTAGCCATCCCTAATTTAGCAGTGAAAGATTAGAGGGAAAGCAGTCAACTCTTGGGCTACTTTTTTACCAACAATAGTGGGACTGGCCATCACATTATAACACCCCCATTGCTGAAACAGCAAGCATGTTTGGTAAGACGAATATTTAAACTTGTTACGTGCAAATTGTGAGTCAAGTTCCCTAACCACCTGGCCATGCCAGGCCAATTAACTGGGACACAATGGAAGAATAAAAAAAGAGGGCAAGGTGGAAAACAGGTATGTACAAGGTTCCCCATTAAAAGCACAAAAAAAAAGGTGAAGTATGGACAAGTAATGAAGAAGACGAATAAATAAGAGATAAAAATGTGTAGATGTAGTAAGAGAGAGATTAAAAAAAGGAAAAAAAAACTCATATGATGAAGGCTTATGCAACAAGGTAGCCTTAGATTCTGAAAAAAAATTGGAGAAAGAGAAAACAAACAACACATATCTGTGTAATCCAAGAAGTGAAGAACAAAGATGGGTCATCACTGGGAAGAGGGAATTAGAAGCAAAAAACAGGTGTAGAAACAACACTAATGAAATTCACAAAAGATGGGGTAGGTTCATCTGAAGTAACAAAAGAAGGAAGTTAGGAATCCTGGATCTCAAACCAGAATAGAACAACCAACCATCAAGTAATACTGCTAACTATCAGAGTACCTCTAGTCCATTTCAGTATTGGATGACTCCTGTTGAGGAGTATCAGAAACATGGATGTGTAATTCAGAAGATCCACAGACAACAGAACACGTGTTCCAAAATTAGAAATTTGATTAAATGAAAAAAATCAAATCAAATTTTTAACAAAATTGTTTACAATTCTGTATCCTTCTTATAATCAAGAAAATTAGAGAAACAAAGACTACACTATAAATGATAATGAAAGTTTAAAATAATGAGAGCAGAAATGCCATTAATTCTTAAAAAAAGATAATTTTTGAACATGGTGCCAAGGAAAGAATGACCCTTTGTTCAAATGTTAAAATCTAGGCCCATTGGGGTTACTATGCATGGAAGATGTGTCACCCATCTACTGGTGAGGGTTATAGTCTAATGATGATTACATCAAGACTGGTACTTGTTAATATATGTAGGGGTGAGAGCTTCATTCAAGGCTTGTAGGATGTGCAAAAATCTTCACAGCAGTGGGGTTAGGTTAAAGCTCTTCATTGTACAAAGAAGTGAGTAAAATTGCTGAACATAACATCCACATCATAAAAAAAAATGTTTGAAGCAAATGTACACAGTGTGGACTTAGCCTAACTATTCTAAAGATAATATTCACACACCTGTATTTAACACAGAATCTTCTAATTTATAAATAACATATCCTGAGATGTTTAACTTCTTAAGAAGCTTGATTTTCTAACATGCCCTCTTCCAATTCTTAATTAGGGTTTCTAACAAAACATGGAGTCTTACCATAAACATTCACATTGATTATCCTTTATCAGCCAAAAGTTTGGTTTCTACATTTTTATCATGTAGTATTTCAGTCTTGAGAGCCATATCTGCATTCAAACTACATAACTCTGTTGAAGGTGGAGGGGTAAAACAAAACATGTTTAGCAACCTTATTTAATACTAGTTCTGACAAGGAAAGGAAAGATCCCTTCAGTATTCAATCAGAAAGAACAGAAAGTATAAAGTATAAACAGCAGTTGTTATGTCAAAAGCACTCAAGTTGAAATTATGTAATCACAAGTTTGATCATTTTGTCTACCATAATTGTTAATAACAGGATATATACACCAAGTGAAGAAAAAAGTAGGAGACACATGCTCCTTGTGCCCTGTGTTATGTGTCTATGCACTACTAATATGATTGTCTGTACTTTTATTAATCTTGTACTGGTGGCACTTTCTGATTGGTTGGATGACAAATAATCACAGTGTAAACCATCAATAAGTCTGTACTTTAGTGCATTTCATTTTCTAAGGATAAAGGAGTGACATTTCTACAGTATTTGCTTTTTATACCCTTTTTACCTCACTATTTCCATAATAAATTCCAATCCTATATTTATCAAAACTGATAAAAACATTTATAATATAAATACCACTCATTTTTTGTTTGAAAAAAAAAAAAAAATTAAATAAGGAGTCTGGACAATCATATATTAATATAATCCTGTATATGTCATTTGATTGTACTGAGCTTGAACACCACAGCATAGTGACTCAGTGAATGATAAAGAACACAGCAACTTCACCATTTTTAGATCTCTAGCGTTACAACAGGCAAAGCGTGTGTGCAAGCATGAGTAATAAAGATTAAAAGAAGCTCTGTTAATCAAACATCTAAAATGAATTGTAAACCAGTATCTTTGTCCATCTCCATTACTCCTGCTATTCACATTCAAGTACATGTATAAAGCTTCAATCTACTGGAAAAATTCTGCCAAAAAGAACTTTTCAGTTCTTGTTAAGCTGACAACTTCATGCCAACAAGACTGGGGCCAATAATTATAAAGTCAGTATGTTGCTTCTCTTCTGCATGATGGATTATTGAAGGCATAAGCAGAGTTTTGGTTTAAAATAAATTGCAACTATGTGCAAATAACATGCAGGTTTATAAAAGCTAAGATTTATACATTTTATGATTTATTACTTTCATTGTAATATGTAAAAACAAAGTTTTTCATGACCTATAAATTAATTTCAAAAACTAATTGTTTAATGTGCAACATAAATTTGATGCTAACATGTTCAGAATTCTATGTATGGATTACATATGGTTTAATACACACTGACTAATAATAAACAGGTAAAAAATTACAAGAAGTGAAATGCAAATGAAATGTGAAACTATAACATGAAGAAAAGTATTTTTATACTTAAAATGAAAATCACTTTGCACTCAAACTATTCACAGTTTGAGTGCAAATAACTAAAATAGATAAATAACATTTTTATCAAAAAGACATAATTAAAATAATGTTATTCTTTGTGTACAAAATACTAATAAACTTTAACAAAACCTTATGAGATTTTGTGAGGAATGTTCAAAGTTACCATATATTTTTTGCATAAATGTCCTTCCCCAGTCATGGAGATGCAAAATATATCAGCCCATTGCAAAAGGGTTAATAACCTAAAATAATTAAGTGTTTGGATAATATGCAACCTTCTGTCATGATTAATTATTTGTTATTATTCAGTGGACAAACAGATAATTGTGACAGAATGTTATGCATTATCCAAACAGCTAAAGTATTTTAGGCTATTAGTGGTGACTAAAAGACTATACATCAAAACCAAATAAAAAGGTGTTACATATTATTAAACCATTAATATTCCAGGTCTAGTCATTTTCTGACAAACACAGTTAAATGAACAAATAACTCGGCAATCAACATGTTTTTTTAGAAAATATAGAACAATAAATACGAAAATGTCCTAATTTTTTCTATTAAAGCAATCTTATCCGAAGTGACACTAATTATGTTAGAAACTTGTAGTAAGTAAACAATACATTAAGTTAAAGCTACACTATTATTTAGTACAAAGGTAAACACAAACAACAGATATTAATGTGGCTTGTTATCTGCCAATAGTTTGGTCATTTGGACAATTGGAATAACTGAAAATAGTAATAATCAAAAACACTGATTTTGATAAGTTGATTATTTTGTCAATTATAACACTAATTGATTAAACTGAACAAACTTGAATCAATCAAAAATAATAATGAGAAATCATAATGACAGTATTTCAGTTACTTGGATAGTTTGAACAACTGAAAGCATTAGTTGATTATTTTTATGACACTGATTGATTTATCGCTTCTTTTACATGACACAAATCAAGGTAATCAAAGTTCACAATAATCTGTTAATTGAGTTAATCACCCAGCTCTCTGACCACCCATGAATCAATTTGATAACAAATACCATTAAATGTTGTCACAGATCATTCTTTAACTATAGATGCAAAACAGATATATCTATAAATCATGAATGTAGCTCATTAAACACCAATATATCAAAGCAGTTGAATTGCATGTCACAAAGAAAAGACAAAGCTAAACATATGTTATCTAATCTTTCTCCTTTCATTCATGACAACACAACATATTCATCAACCCTGAAGCAAATAATCTATTATTTGTTTTATAAATTTATCCATCAAAATTAAATAAATCAAAATTTCTTACAGCAACATTTTTTCGATTTCTCCCGGAGAAAGTGTTTTTAAATTCCCACTTTTGAAAAAATAACATAAGTGACAAAACTTATTACACATATCCTGTAAAACCTAGGATACTGTTTTCAATTATTCTATAATAAAATTTAACTATTTATTCAGTACTTATCAGGTCTCTCCAACCATCTAAACTTACTAATATGATGTAGTATGAACATAATAACATCTGTGTGGATATCACTACTATAACATAATGGAGTACAAGTTTCTGAAACACCTGTCTTAGCATCTGTTCCAGATTACTACATGTACTACCATATAATACAATAAAAGTTAAATCAAACTTTCTCTCTCTCTCTCTCTTCCTATGTAATAAATAGTTCACTTAATATTTTAAAAAATGAAAGTCATTTAATAACTGTTAAGAAAAAATATCATACATAAAATTTAAACTGGGATTTTAATATATTTATCATCTGCAGCTTTAATATAAAAACCAAATTAAAAAAACAACATATATATGAGGATGAAAACACAAGAAAGATGATAAGACGTCATCAAGATCATCATGAAGCCAGTACTATACTTGTACTGTTCACTGTTCTTTTTTCCATGTTTTCTGCATACACATTAAAGATTAACTGCACTTCACATTTTGTGATGCTTTACCTGTGTCATTAGGATATATAGCTAGATCAACATTCTTAACTAACACGAAAACTTGAGAAAAGTGTGTGTGATATGTGGACATCTTCCAATAAATAGCCCCCATAACATAGTATAAGAAAGTATATTTATTCATAAATTTTCTTTAAATTTTATACATGTTTTTTTTTTAAACATAGGTACAAGATTAGACAAAAGAAATGTGCTAAACCTTGAATTACACTAATTCTACACACAGGAACTGTCACACACATTCATAGACTGGATAATTCATTAAGCTAGACCTCATAACTTTGGTTGAGTGTGAAGGTATCAATGTCAAAAACCCTTTTCTTTTAACATTATTTGCCTGAATCATGTTAGTGATGTAACATTCTTAGTGTTAATCAAAACCATGCATTCATATATAGGAGCATTTCAAAGTTTCTTCTCTTAATGCACAAAATATTTTGTGTGGTGTTATACTACTATGATAGAAATAACACATTTGTCTTTGTCTTTTGACTTTGGGACTGTCTGATTAACTTGGTGGAAATTTAAACTCTGTCCTAGCTGACAATGGAAAATTTGATGATTTGTTGCCTTTGACTCTATCTTTTCTGGCAGTTACAGAAAAAGCCACAGCTGATAGTTATGGACAAACTAGTCACATTTGTTAAATACCCAACCCTGGTTCCAATAGTGATCCAAAAAGAGATTCAACCCATGAATCTAGTAACAACAACCTCAACAAAAGATATCTACAAAAGAATAAAAGTCCTTGGCTTCAGAAAAGTTTTTTGTCCTCACTGTAGTCTATCTCATCCATAACCATCATGCCTATACAAATATAAAGATAAAGAACAAGCATGGTATCATTCTAAAGTTCCTACTTGTTCAATAAACTAAAAAAATAGAGAAGAGTTACAGTTATGTGTGATATTACTTGTTAAAAGTAAATGTGTTGATTTTCCTTCTTTTTCTTTAACCAAATCAGCTTATATAAAAATTTAGTTACTGTATAACTTCCAACAACAGAAAAAATAATTTTCATTTGTAAGGATTAAATTGATAAAATTAAACAATATTTCTTCTCAAATTTTATATAAAAATACGAAAGTTCATTGAGTATTTTGTAAGTATGAAGAGATATGAAGAACATTTTAAAAGTGTATCATATTAAACTTTTAAGCTATCTTTTGTGGCATTCTCTATTAAAGGGCATTTTATTAAACTTTTAAAAGGTATTTTATAATAGATGCATCTTTATTGAAATTATTCTTTGTTTAAAGATTTATCTTTTGTACTAATGTATTCTTTGTTAAGATTTTTTATGTTCCATGTTGTCTCATTAAGTAACACAGCATATGGTGTTGTCTAGATTTACAGTTATGGTTCCATTGCACCAAACTCAGTCATATTTTAATCTATGATTTGATATTAACTTTGCACTTAATAACCTTATGTAAAAAATGATAGTGGTTGTGACATTCAGATATAAACTAAACCATCAATGACACACTATATGAATATATTACTAGTAATATATTTCTTCAAAAATTAGTATAGGTTTCTGCATTTAGATACAATCTTTATCAGGGTTTTATGAGTATGTGGATTACGGATCCTTCTACAGTAGGCATCTGTGATTTCTTGGTGAAAAAGTTTAACAAAAAATGGACAGCACATACTCCACTTGTTTTAAAATAATATATTCGAAACAAGTTCAACATATGTACAAAAATTCCTTACACTATGGATATCACAGTTGTATCTCAAACTCCAAATAGTTCTCTTTTTCTTGTCAAAAGTCAAC